TATTACATTGCTTAGGTGGTTACGAAAATTGGTATATATGAATTTGAAATATCCTATCTTAGAAAAAAAAAACAGCATCTTGGACTTTCACTTTTCCAAATATCCTGGATACTGCAAGGGTTGATATATCAGATATATCCCTAAAGCTGCCAAGAGCTATTATGATTAAAGGCACTAATAGAACGGCTAGTTTATTTAAGTTTATGTAAACTTGTCTTCTTACAATGTAAAATAAATATTTTAGATTAACAAAAAATTAGTGTTTTTATCTTTTTCTGTCAAATAAAAAAAAATCAAAGTCATAGATATTTGAATCAATGTACCCCAACCCATGAATCAATCTGCCCCCGAGTCGGGGCAGATTGATTCATAAATCAAATTTTGTAAATATAGCTGCATAAATGAATCTTACTGTCACAAAGGAAAAATGAAGCCAAATTATGAAATTTAAATGTACACTGAATTTGTATACTAACTTGTAAAATTTTACAATCATATACAAGGTGTTTCAGTTTATTGTTGCATAACATTAAGATTCGATAGAACTTTTAAAATTAATGCAATGTCTATATAAACATGGGTCGAAAAATGCGTGGCTTCCGAAATACAGGGTGTTTAAATTTACTTTCTAAAATAGTTTTTTTTAAATATTTCGAACAATATTTGATGTATAACAGTGAAAATTGGCATACCAGGGTTTTTTTGGTACGACAAAACGAACCATGGCCATAGTTTTACTGTAGCCGCTAGAGGGCACTCTCTACTGGACCTGTAGTGTATTTAAATCAACGAAAAATTTTTCTTAGTTCAATTTTTTGCTTTTCGAATAAAAAAACTGATTCTTCGCACTTTTCAACATAAAAAAGCTCTCTTGTGAATTTTCGTTATAGTTAGCCGTTTTTGAGATATTTCGATTTTTAAGGATCGATGCATTTTTAATTATTTATGATAAAATAAAGTTAAAAAGTCAGTATCTCGATAATTTTTAGAAGGCTGTGCCTGCAAATATTTTTGAAATTGAAAGCAGAATAAGGTTAAACGTCAATTAGTTGACAGTTAGTTTTGTTGTCTGTTGAAACCTGAAACGTTTGTTGCAATTGTGAATGCACGAAATTTAGTTTCTTTTACCTGTTTTCTTTTGTAAGTTTTATAAAAATGCCATTTTTATTCTCCAATCAAGAGTTAGCGGATATTCGTTTTTTGTATGGCTTTGTAAATGGAAACGCAGCAGAAGCAGCCAGAGAATACGCACGAAGATTTCCAAACAGACGACATCCAACTCGCTCAGTATTTGTAAGAATGCATCGCCAAATAATTGAAAATGGTTTTGGAAATCTCCAAACGGATCAAAACATAAATGATCGTCAGCGCAGATTTACCCGTATGATTCTGCGTGAGTTTGATAGAGATCCGACCACAAGTGTTAGGAGAGTTTCTGGTGCCTTGGGAATTTCAGCAAGCCATGTTCACCGTGTTCTTAGAAATGACCATAGACGTCCTTACCATTTGCAACCTGTGCAAGGACTACAGCCAGGGGACGGAGAACGAAGAATCATTTTTTGTCAGTGGATTCTTGAACTGATAGTAATAGGGAGTTTTTAAGTAACGTTTTATGGATGAGTCATGCTTCACTAGACGTGGAGTGTAAATTTTCATAATCAACATATTTGGTCGCATGAAAATCCGCATGCAGTTCGGGAAAGAAATTTTCAGCATGAATTTAGTGTGAACGTGTGGATTGGTATCTACCGTAAACGACTATTTGGACCCTACCTTTTGCCTGCAAGGTTAAATGCTGCGACCTTCTTGGAATTTTTAAAGGCTGAACATGCAAATATGTGGGATGATGTTATGTTAGATTTAAGAAGATTGGCCTGGTTCCAGCTTGATGGTTGTCCAGCTCATTATTCGAGAATAGTTAGAACCTTCCTGGACGAAAATTATCCAGAAAGATGGATCGGCCGTGGAGGACCAGTCGCCTGGCCTCCACGATCCCCTGACCTAAATCCATCAGATTTCTTTGTGTGGGGATTTCTAAAAGAAAAAGTGTAATTTATTAAAAATAATTTATAATATTGGAAAATTAAACAAATTAATATTCTGTTTTTTTATGTTTATTTGGAGTTAGGAATTATTGCTGTGTTTAAAAACAGAATCTGAACGATCATCTTAATTACTTGTAATGCCCAAATCGAAAATGTAAAAAAAAATATTATTTTCCCATAAATAATTAAAAATGCATCGAACCTTAAAAATCGAAATATCTCAAAAACGGCTAACTCTAACGAAAACTCACAGGAGAGCTTTTTTATGTTGAAAAGTGCGAAGAATCACTTTTTTTATTCAAAAAGCAAAAAATTGCAGTAAGAAAACATTTTCGGTCATTTTAATATACTACAGGTACAGTAGAGAGCGCCCTCTAGCGGCTACAGTAAAACTAAGCCCATGGTTCGTTTTGTCGTACCAAAAAACCCTTGTATACCAATTTTCACTGTTATACATCAAATATTGTTCGAAATATTTAAAAAAAACTATTTTAGAAAGTAAACTTAAACACCCTGTATTTCGGAAGCCACACATTTTTCGACCCATGTTTATATAGACTTTATGCATTAATTTTAAAAGTTCTATCGAATCTTAAAGTTATGCAACAATAAGCTGAAACACCCTGTATAAGCAGTCCGGAGCATTTCAAATGAAGTGTATCAATGCGCCCCACTTTCCCCTACGAACTTGATAGACACATGTTAATATATCCTGAATCCTGAGACAGTCATTAGATAATTTTTGCATTGCGAAAACCACATACAAATTAGGGTTGCAAAGCACATCCGGTTATAGTAGCCGGTATCAGGCTACAATTATTGATTATCCTGAAAGATACCAAATACTAGCTCCAGTATCCGGCAAAGGCAGGATAGTAATACAAATATAAACATATAGTCTGATCATATTAGTAAATATCCCCGAAATAATTGTGGTTTTATTGGCGCAAGTTGTTCAAGGGGGTATTTAAAACATAGACGCATAAAATGGGGTACACCAATTTTTGTGGGAAAACAACAAAGGATGGGAAAACGTGTTTTTTGGGATTGAATCGACAGGTATTCGAATAGGTATTTATGAGACCACACGTTTAAAAGATCCGACTAATAGCAAAAATGTTGTGGTCGAGGCAAACTGCAAGTTTTGGCACTTGTTGGTAATGCGACGATCATTTTACGCAACCACTTGAAATTCTTCAAATCCATAGGATTCATGCTTCCAAATAACAACAACAAAATTGTGCCCTTTGAACTAACTCTGTATATTGCTCAATAAACTAGTAGTGATGGACAGAAAACAGGTGTTTTGGGATAAACAATTAGAAATTCTCAAAAAACCAATTGACCAATTTACTCCAATTTTGTTATGGTTATTTAAAACTACGAATCCTACGAAGAATTTTGAAGAATTTCAAATATCTGCGACAAACCATCCTCTACCGACAAATGCCAAAACTTGCAGTTTGAGTAGTTTTTCGGCCATAACATTTTTGGTATTAGTTGGATCTTTTTACGTGTGGTCTCATTTTGTAGGTCTCATTAATACCTAACATTTTTATATGAACGGTTTTTTTTTCGTTCCTGCCAAACACTTCCGATTGAATCCCAAAAAACACGTTTTTTCATTCTTTGTTGTCGATTAAAAAAATTTACCACAAAAATTGGTGTACCCATTTTATGCGTCTATGTTGTATATGTAAATATCTCCTTGAACAACTAGCATCAATAAAATCAGACTTTCAATAATTATTATTTCGCAAACCAGGGGTATTTTCGTCTCATATCGCATATAAACTGATGGACAGTTGCTTTGCGACATTGAAAATTTTACTCAAATTCAAATCTCGATATTTTCGGAATGGAAAGAGATATCGAGTTGCGGTATTCGGGTGGTTGTTGACCAACTTGTTGAGAACATGTACAGGGTTTGACCGATATATTCCTTTTAATTGTCCACTTATACTGGAAGTCAGGTTTTTTAGCAAAGTTTGGGACAGTCAGATTCTGAATCTTTGATCTTGGAAATTTTTCTATGAATCTTTTCGATCTTTGGACTATCCTAAAAAAAAGTCTTTCTCAAATTTTTTGAAAGTTGGCTTTAACTCAAATTATCGAATTTTGAAAAAGTGTTACTTGTATCCCTAAAAGGGGACTTTTTTGAGGTTTCTCTTGAAAATGTTTTTTTTTGTATGAGTACTGTTGCATAAAGTGGAATTTCTTGCGCCCGAGAAAAGATTGAAGCACTTATTGAACGTTATTGCCTCCAGTGGCGTGCAGTAAAATTTGCTACTTTGACTTTATGTAATTGAAACCGAATGTCTAAATTTTACTATGCAATTAAACAGCTTAATTAACAAATCCAAGTTACTACTCTCAATATAGGGGTGTATTCTAGTGGCGTAACACCAGAATTATTTTTTGGTTTGGTAAGAAGTGCTAAAACCTAAAAATATTTATTTTTCAAAATGATATGATGCTGGCCATTCAGCATTGGCGTACGCGTCTTCATTTGAGATGTTTTCCAGTCGGTAATAGACTATATTAAATTTTTAAACAACATCAAAGAATTTATTGATTAACATTAACAAGATGTAACATTTTAGAAAACAAAAATTTGAGGACCAGTTAAATACCTAAATTATTTATTTTTGACAAAGACGAACTTTTTACAAAATAGCAACAGTTATTTTAACAATATTGTTAGTACCTTATAGGGCCAATCCGCACATCGATCACAGCCTGGCATTTCCGGTGGCATACTTTCCAGAAGGTTATTAATAAAGTCTCGGGATACGTTTTCCAGCTCTTCCTGAAAGGACTCGGACAGCTCTTCCATTCTTTGAGGAGTATTTTGTCTTGAACACACTAACAATTTTAGCCGAGACCACACATGCTCAAGTGTGGTCTGGAGACTTTGATGGCAGGGCAATAATTATTTTCTGCCAAAAAGTGTATTACCGTACGAGCTCTGTGTGGTCTGGTGTTCGTCGATGAAGCTAAAATTCTCCCTAAAATCTTGTGCAAAAGGTACAATAATATTGGTTAAAATGTTCTCCCTATAAACTGCAGCATTGACTGACCTGTTTGCAATAAAAAAAAGTTTTACCATTGTGCATAACCCCTGCCCAAACAGTAATGCCACCTCCACCAAACGCATCTTGTGGTATATGTTGAAGCACGTTTTATCGGAAAACATGCAATTTTGCCACTGCTGATGCCAATTTCCCCGCTCGTGTGCCTATTGGTACCTGGCGACTCTTTGGTTCAAGAGTCGGGTACACTTGCGCAAGACGCCTTGCTCTGGAAGAAATGCTACTTTAAAAAAGTACCTGATTAATTTTAATTATTTTTTTACAACATTTACATACCTTAACAAATTAGAATTTAAAGTACCATTGGATGCTATTATTCCACTGTGTCGCCGTAAGTTTTCATTAAAGGTTCTGGATGAAAGGGTCCTTGTTCGCCTTACTTCCTGCAATAAATGTCTTTCAGCCCGACCCCGTATTCTTTTTTGGATTACCTCCTCCATGCAAGTAGGACGTTTCCCCGGTATCCTGCTATCTACGCCTTAAACGGTATATTGAGAACCGATCAACATTATAAATTAAAGCTACATTATTCAATAAACAACCGGAAAAACGTCCTATTTGCATGGAGAGGGTAGTCAAAAAAAAACGCGGGAAGTTAAAAATTCGGTGATTTGAGTTATAGCCAACTTTCAAAAAAATTGAGATATTACTTTTTTTAGGATAGCGCAAAGATCAAAAACATGCATAGAAAAATTTCCAAGATCAAAAATTGAGAATCTGACTTTGGTAAAAAACATGACTTCCTTTGCTCACGCTATATAAGAGGATAAATAAAAGAAATATACCCTGTACGTGTTCTCAAAGAGTTGGTCAAGAACCTACCGAATACCATAACTCGATATCTCTTTCCGTTCCGAAAATATCGAGATTTGAATTTGGGTAAAATTGACCATGTTGCAAAGTATATAACTATCCACCAGTTTATTTTTGTGCAAATACTATAAACAGATCTGTTTAAAATATCAAGGAAAAAGTTAAACGTTTAAAAACTCGGTATAAAACTATAGCGGAAACATGGTAAGCTCATGGCTTTAAATGTACTGTACAAATAATTATATGTTGCTGCAACATTATATGAGAAACTTCTTTGGAACAAAGATGTGGTATGTCTCGGAATTCTGATAACGTGTCTGTCCCTCTTAAAAATTATTTTTTCACATAAGTACTATGGGTTAAAATTAGTTAAAATTTTATAGACAGATGTCGAAAAATGTAACTTGACCAACTGATCCAACTTTAGCCGTCTCAACTCTGCATATACTCAGTGACGTTAGAAGTGTTACACCCAGAAAAAATATTTCTTTAACTTGTTTTTTTTTTGGCAACGTAATGACTTTATTTTTGAGCTTAGGGCCCAAAGGCCTGTTTTATATATATATATATAACAAAAAGTAGGAAAATAATGGGCAAAATCCTCAAAAAGGGGGAAAGTCGATTCGAGCAGAAAGTGGGATAGGTAACCCGACCATACGTATTTCTGCTGGTTGGCTTCATCAGGCTCGAAATGAATGTAAATATGAAACTACAAAAGTAGATACACACGCCCACTCATCCGGATACGGGTGTAACCTGAGGAAACGAAGATGGAGAGGGAAAAAAGACGACACGTGAAGTCCACAACACACATTGTAGTATAAAAGGGCTAGAAGACCTCGAATTTTCAAGGAGACATCTAAGCACAACCAAGCGGCCGGTTATAGCCACTTGCTGTGAAACTACAAGCCTAAAGGATCTACAAAGAGAAAATGATCATGCGGAGAAAGGTATATAACAAATAGTAGGAAAATAAAGGGCAAAATCTGTATCCGGATGTGTAAACATATGTATCTACTTTTGTAGTTTCGGGCCTGATGAAGCCAACCAGCAAAAATACGTTTCGCTCGGGATACCTATCCTATTTTCTGCTCGAATCCACTTTCCTCCTTTTTGAGGATTGTTCCCATTATTTTCCTACTTTTTGTTATATACTTTTCTCCGCATGGTCATTTTCTCTCTCTCTCTCTATACATATATATATATCTTGAGACGTGATCATTGTCGTCTAGACCAGTTAGGTGAAGAATTAAAGCTTCCGCCTTTTCTTGGGTACTTCGACAAAGAGTCCTCTTTGCTTAAATTTTGTCGAAGTACCCAACAAAAGGCGGAAGCTTTAATTTTTCACATATATATATATATATATATATATATATATATATATATATATAAAGAGAATATGATCATGCGGAGAAAATATATATATATATATATAAAGAGAATATGATCATGCGGAGAAAATATATATATATATATATTAACAAAAAATAGGAAAATAATAGGCAAAATTGCAAAAAGAAGCAAAGTGGATTCGAACACAAAAAAAGGATAGGTAACCCGAGCTATACGTATTTCTGCTGGGTACAAAAGTAGGTACAGAGGCCCACACGTCCGGATACGGGTGTAACCTGAGGAAACGAAGATGGAGAGGGGAAAACATTACACACGAACTCCACAACAAACCTACACATTGTAGTATAAAATCCCTAGAAGACCTTGGATTTCAAAGACGACATCTAACCACAACTACGCGGCTGGTTATAGCCACTTGCTGTGGTACTCCAAGCCCAAAGGATCTACAAAGAGAAAGTGATCATGCGGAGAAAGGTATATAACAAAAATTAGGGCAACATCCGCAAAAAGAAGGAAAGTGGATTTTGCCCATTATTTTCCTATTTTTTGTTATATACCTTTCTCCGCACGATCATTTTCTCTTTTATATATATACACAAAAAAAATTTAATGAACAAAAATATAACGAATATTGAAAATATAGCTACAACATCGCATATTAACAAAAAAAAACTGTAATTAGGAACCATATTTTATTAAACTTGAATATCAAGACATAAAAAACAAAATAAAACATTATATTAAACAGAAACTTAATCACAGCCTTAATGCTTGCAATAAAATAAACTATCAAACAGAAAAAAAAACAAAAAATAAATATACCAAACATAAAAACTTATTCACAGAAAGTAATTACTTAGGAACCTTATTTTAATAAATAAATGAATCTAAAAATCTAACTTTTGCACAAAAAATAATTTACATATTTCAATAAACAAGTTGTAGAAATATATAAAACAAAAACTTAATCACATCTTTGGTATGCATTTGAAGTATAACAATAATCATCACAAATTGGAATTCAAAAAGAGTAACATGGAAACTTTTTGTCCTTGAAGTCTGCTCCTTTTTTCTGTGAGAGTTTGACCAGCTTTAGAAAATATCCTTCCACTGGGGACTAAGTAGCTACTATGCTTAACCTCCTTTTCATAAGCACATATAGTCTGGGAAATACATGTTTCCTTTGCTCCCTCCACATGAATGGGTCACAATCTCTCTGCAATAATGGCTCATCTAGATATTTTTCTACCTCTGTAATTTCAGCTGTTAAAGGATTACCACTAGACACCATATTAGCTGATTTTGTAGTTTTTTTTTGTTAAATCAACTCCATCTGCCTGAATCTGCTCATCATTTCTGTTGGTGACTTCACTTGATGATGGGGTATTCCTGGTGAGATAACTAATTAATTTTTTTTTGCACATTCGAAAGCTGTTTTACTATCAAATCCAAATTTTTTAAATTGTGGATCCAAAATTATTGCTTCTGTATTGCTAAACCTTTTTTGTAAAGACGATAATAGTGCCTCAGTCAGCTGTTTACACTCTTCTGGAATTTCTGAATTATCCACCAGAAATTTCCTACAAGATTTTGAAAGTGAATTGCTAAACAATATAATTTTTGAAACACTCACCTCTTTTTCTGATGAAATTTCTTATGTTACTTCCGTGAACACTTTTAATATCTGACTACGTATTTCCAAAATTTAAATGTCGGTGTTTGATAAATTTGGTAGGTTCGTGTAACGTATTGCAATTACCGACATCAATGGTTGTTTTATTTCTAGTATGCGCTGGAACATGTCAAATGTAGAATTCCACCTTGTGGCCACATCTTGCTTCACTTTTAATTCAGGAAGCCCGAGTTGAATTTCCATTCATTTTAATTTGTCAGTAGCTTGTGGGCTACGCCTAAAAAAATCAACTATGGTTTTGACTTTTTGTCTGATACTGTGTATCTTTTCTAATGATGATTGCACCACTAAGTTAATTGTATGTGCAGAACAAGGAATGTGGCTCCAGCCAGTTTTCTTCACAACTGCTACTATATTTGCCCCATTATCAGAAACAATGGCAACTATTTTCTGATCAATCCTCCACTCATGTGCAATTTCTTGAGTCCTTCTCATAAATTTACAGCTGTATGGCTCTCAGTATAATTATAGCACTCTAATAAGTTTGAGTTAATCTTATTAGAATGTAAATAGTGGTCTGTGATGGCCAAATAACTTTCATTTGTTGCCGATGTCCATGCATCAGTTGTTAAGCAAACAAATTCCGCTGATTGTATTTTATCGAACACCTCCTCTCTTGTTTTATTATAATATTGAGGTACCAATGCTTTTGACACAGTTTTTCTACAGGGGAGCAAGTAGCCAGGGTTCAATTTTTTAATAAACTGCTTAAAATCCTCACTTTCCACAATTTGAAATGGTAGATATTGTTTGGAAATCATTCTGACCAGACACCGGTTTATCTCATCTGTCTTTTTCACTGGCACAGGTTTGTAAAAGAAACAATTCATATTCAAAGTATGTTGTGTTTTAGTTGCTACATGAATCGCTGTGATGTTTCCTGATTGCTGGTTACTTGGACTGAAGGTGGAGGGTTTAGATGGACAGGCTTCTAATAGTTGATTTTCATCTCTTACTGATGAACTCTGGCCGCCCTTCCTACATACACTGTCTACGGAACCAGGATGCTTTGTTTTAAGATATCTCATCAAATTATATGTTGATCCTCCCCGAAATGATAAAAATTGCATTTTGCTCTAGAACCCGATAACTCCTCGAAAGCTGACCAAACATAGCTTTTTTTTTGAAGACATGATATGATAATATGATATATGTTTTACAATATCGTTACATTCCGTGCGTGAGTAGCATCACAAAAGTGGTAAGAGTAGCAGCACAGCACAAAACATGTGAGAAGTGAGTGAACCGTGTGTCTGAGTCATTACACGAATACACTCGTCATTCGAGGCCGGTCGGGAAGCGTGTCAGCCGTGTCGTTCAAACGA